TGGGACTGTAAAGAATTTTGTCAGGCGGGAAAGTTGAAAATGAAGTTCTTTGTTTAAGTAAGCGAGAGTAATAGTAGCATGTAGACATCAAAATAAACAACTGTGGCGCTTTTTTGAGGAACAGTAGGCACCTACGCAATCAAATCGAATGTGTGTGCGCACGCAGAAAACACTGTTTACACAAATGCCTGTGGCCGTGATCGTCGAGGAGGAGGAGGATGAGAAGAGATAACGACATTTTTCTAAGAGGAGTTAAGAGGTAACTTCTAGGTTCGGGGAGTTTGCCTGTCGACCGTCGATGCGGTATCGAGATGCAAAGCAGAGAGGATTTGGCGCTGCTATCATGTAGCTACTTACAACTACACAGTAGATATTATTTGTACATATATTAAGCACGGGTCGGAGTAGGGAAGTAGAAGTCAGGATGTGGTTCATGCCTTAGCACCATTTACTGTTTCTTGGCCTTGAGTGGAACCCACGTCAGTAAGGCTTTGAGATTCAGTGGTGGTGGTAGTGACTGAGGCAGCAGGAGGCTCTTCAGTGGCATCAGGCTCAGACGGTCTGGGGGTGTCATCGCCTTCTAGCTTGATACACTTGTTTGGCGGGAGAGGGCTGGGAGATGTTCCAGAAGTCAGTTCCTGGGCTACGCCGCCGCGTCGATCAAGTTGAAGAAAGTTTTCCAAAGCCCGTTGTATAGAGGCTGTTTCATTCAAACCTACATGGAAAAAACATTGTTGCATAGAGTTACTGGCTGCCGGAATAAGAAGAGGACTTAGAACACTGTGTCGTGATGATAGTCATAACTCACCTGGGAAGAAGGCGGATTCCACATCCCTCGTGCTCATCCGACGAAAACCGTTCATGAGACCCATGAGTCGTAGTCCCCTGCTTATGGATTTTGTCGATCGCACGTGTGGTAGGTTTGTATCGGGTGGGACTTGTGTTTGAAGAAAGTGGGAAAATTCTTCTTGGATTCTGTTCTCAATGTCTCGGACGCGTTCAAGGGACGTGACCGAATCAGATTCGGTTGAGTTGAGAGCGACTGAAAAAAGAAATACCCAAAATAGCAAACCGCGTTTGGGATACACTTGCTTTCGGTTTCATTCCAGTAGCCTACTGATTTAGGAAACTTTTTTGGCGGGGCAAACAGGAAAAAGGTAACTGCAAAAACCTTTTAACTTACCCGAATTAAACAAGGCCATATACCGAAGATAGGTAAACTCTTCAGGGTTTACTTCGGCCTTAGCGAAGCCCTGAACTACCGACTCCACATTTGGTTTGATGTGATGATTTGAGCCAGTGGAAGATTCTGTAGGCAAAAACAGACAACTTGTCAATAGTATGCATTAAATGAATAAAACGGGACAAAATTGATTTCGAGCGATATGACATTGAGGCTTGTGACTGTCTACAACCCTCGGTTTCTAGAAGAGGTAACAATTACAATAAAGCTCTCATTCTGGCGAATTTTGCCTTTTCCAACAACGTAGGATTCTATCTGATAATTGCAGTGCACTAAGTACAACCACAACTTAGGCCATGTCTTTGAAGACCCCTAAATATACTGAACTAAGCACACCAACGACCAGTGAAAAGTGAGTGCGTTATTTTAAAATGTGAAAAGGTCATTGGTTGTTTAGCTTAAAAGCGGACAGCAAGCAGAACGAAACCAATTTACGAAGCGAACCGTTACGAAGCATGCCTACCTAAATAGAGCAAGTAGGTGAGTTTAGGAATAACGACTAGGTGGGGCCACATACGATACCATCACCAGGTAAGAGTGACTGGAAGGTAAATTTAAGATAGTAAACTTTACAAAACTCCTAGACTCCTCTAGGATGGTCGTTTGTGTCTTACCGTCTTCCACTGTGCCGTCTCTGTTCGAGTTGGTGGATTCGAATAATGAGGACTTGGGAATGCGTCGACTGAACATTTGGCAAAGACCGAGGAGGAAGAGGTCGACCCAGGCGAACGAAATGAGCTCCCTTTGAACGGACACGCTAAAGTAAAAACAAAGACCCATAGGTTTGCAAGGACTGGCAGGACAATTGGACAGATGCAATGCGTACATGAGTATAAACAGAAAACTTGTTTAAATGAGGTTAAATAACGAGCGCCGTCAAAGGTTGTTACACAATTTGGTGAGGTTGTCTCTAGCGGTCTTTTTTAGGTCCTTTTGTATTATAGCTACCTACTTAATTTTTTTAAGTAGGTTGAATTACCTGTAAACTTCTTGTTTTCTATGCGCCCATCCATCGATCTAGCAGGGATTTTCTGATGGCATTGGAATCAGAACGGTTGTCCGAAGGCAAACACATTCCATAACTGCTAAAATCGGCAAACTAAGCGAAATTGGCCTTTTGAACTACACACGGGAACTACCGCTTACTAACAAATTTTAAGTAGGGTGATTTGCCTAATTTCTCTGCCTTTTGTTCTTTGGTAAGCTTTTTCTAGTTGTTTGGTGATACCACTGGAAAATGTATCTCAGTGACCTCGCCCGAGGTTTGGGCACGCCCCCCTACATGCACACGTTCGCCGTTGGTTGGGCGGGGGGTTAGCGATGATAGTAAAGCTACTTTCAGTGTCTTCTCTCAAGGTTTGAGTACGCGACCCAACTTGCCCTCGTAACGTTTTACTGGGCATTCAAGTTAGGGTTCTAATTTCTTCCCTGGCATGCCCCGCCCGTCCTCTCCCTGAAAATCACTCGTTCGTATGCCTGCGGGGCGCGCTTCACACTTTCCCCAAACGACCCCACGACACAATCCTACCCACAATTTTAAAAAGAGAAAATTATGCAGCATGCCTCAGCCAAAGCTGATTGCTCGAAATAATGGACCAGATACGCCCAAAAATCCGTAATATTATGATGGTTACTTCGGGGGAAGGGAAGATTATTTTTAGCGGACGGAATGCTCTGAACGTGCCGCATAATTGTGCCTTTCATACAGCATAACACATAGAGACAATAGGCGCGTGTAGGAGTTTATGCTGCAGGTCCGTGAAAATCAGATTGTATTTCGTTACTATAGGGGAACAGAAAGGCCCAAATAGCCCTGCGGTGTAAACAAGAAATGCGAACATTTCCGGAGCCATACTTGTCCGCTTATTAAGAATCACTCACAAGCACTACAGACAAAGCCGTTAACCGCCTTGATTTCGCTTTCGATGGGTTAACTGAGTGGGTGCCCGATTAAATGGCTGGGTAACTAGTCAGGTAAACACCTTCGCTTCACATTTCTAGCAACGAGCCTGTTGACAAAAACCACGGAGCGTGCAAGGAAGTAAATTATACGTTTATCCCTCGAAAG